GACGAGAAAGACGCAATACAACGCTGGAAAGATCACACATATTACTGGTCTAAATGAGATAACTGCGCGGGAAGATGCATCACCAACCTTAAATCAGTTTGTTATACTGTAAATGCTCCTGGATATCTGCAATGATTAGTAATATTAAATTGCCAACTTGCCAGAAGTAGATATCCAGTATGTTACCAAATGTATTGGAAGCCATAGTTCTACCATGACGAGCGATGATATACTTGGAACAGTGCCACCATGTATTTATGCGCCATATAGAAAGCAACGAAGTTTGGGATGGTAACCAAGGAAACCGTGACTGCCATATATATTTTACAATCAAAATTCCTGGTCAAAAGTGAACTATGAATTTGTACACGTGCATGTTATCGATGCGTCAACATACAGATTTAGAATTAATAGCGTCACGTCAGCTGGCTATTTCAATGATATACTTGGGCAAACTAACATTATATGATAACCGCCTACTATGTGATTATACACAGAGACACAGATGATTTAGTCTCCATGATTTCTCTATGAGTGAAGTGATCACAGTTATGGGAGACGAACCAAGGAAACAAGAAGTACATCAGTCAGTCAGTCAATTCAATTCCAACTGGTGTACGAAAATTTCATTGCATGCTACAGTGGTACATAACTGTTATTTGTGCACACTGCTCTTAAAGGCGATATACGAAATAATATAGCCACACTATGTTTGAATTGCCACGCATGTTGTAAAATTGACCACAGTTTGTTTATTATATTAATTTATTTGTCCATTTTCACAGCTAATGACCAACGACTGCCAATATTATTTATTATCTGCTCGACGTTCTTCGGTTGACTGAATAATATAGTTTTGCGCTTAGAAACTTGCACAGTGCAATTCATCGCGTCATACTTATATTATAATCTAATTTATATATGTCCTGAATTTTTTTTAATTGTGAACCAACGTATATTTTGGAGCAATTATAGCAGTAAACAGTAAAAACTTGTACAATCGCTTCCCTTGAATTGCTGGAATTTATTTACCTCAGAAATGGGTATCAGCTGACAGCTGTTATTAAATCTTAAATTAATAAATGCATGTTAATAAAAGTTATTCACTTTACAACAAAATATCAATAGGAAATAGTCTACAAGTGATATTGAGTTTGGCTCTAGTTGGGTGAACGCCCTCTATAATTGTTGTTGTTGTTTGTTGTTGTTGTTGTTTTTAATTTCAGCACATCAAAGTTGTTTCAATACTTGATTAGCCATAATCAAAATTGTGATTCTATTTTAAACAAAATAAAGCTATATACTGCAGACATCTCTAACAATATGTGGTCTTTATTATTCTTAGCACGTCCACTCCACCCACGTTTATGGCGATTGCTCATGATCTATAGACTTTCCACAGTCGGGCGATTTTTTCAAACATAGATGTAATTTTTAATGTCATTTTTAGCTAAAGTGACATAATGCACATTAAATATGTTCCCCACTCGCCGCGAAAAAATCTTTCGCGGTCACGCTAGTTTTCGCGATCACGCTAAAAGACCAAATTGAAAATTAATTATATTTCTTTTTGTAAAACAAAAAAGAAGTCCCGACTTTTCCAGTCTACATGATGTATTGTCTTACCTGATTGGTTTACAGTTACGTGTCAGTGTTGGATAACTCTACATCGCGCACAGATGTTGCGGCAATCACTATGTTGTCTAGCTGGGTCAACCTCTCAATGTATATTTAGTAGGAATGTATGTTCATATTGTAAACGATATGGAAAAGTATACAAAATTTATATCATATCGAAGTGGTGTTACAAAGATTGTCATATTTTCGTAATCGTGAATGTATTTCACAGTGACATTTTATTGAGGATGTAAGTGTAAGAAGAGAGACATGGCAGTGTTCACTGAAATGGACATTTTACACAATACTGATTTAACATGGAGGATGGGTGGATGGTTGGTTTGGGTTTGTTTTGATTACATGTATTATTCAAGCGCACCACTACAATCCTGGGGTTATATGATACACCAAAAGACAAAATCTAGTACCGCCATGTAATTTATTGTCTCGCATACTAAAGGCGAATATTTATATTGACGAAGCCCTACATGAATGGCACATTTCATGTATTATGTGCGCAACTTTCTTTCGTGAAGGACAAAAACAAAGACGGCATCCGAACCATAGAATCTAGTAAAATTTAATCGATATTATGAGACCATCGTTTTCCAGCCAAAACGTCAAAATTGGGACTATAAGATTTGATTGCTGGCCTCACTGTGTCAACACTGATATGTTGAATCTTTTTTTAAAATCTACGACCGTAACGTCACACTTATGTATTATGTGGTAATTATCTGGGAGAATAATTACCACAAACTCGGAACATTCAGAGGGGATTCTACAAAGTTTCACTTATTATTTCATTTGACAGGTCTCATTTGGGATCTCGAAATGACAATTTATAGGTCCCTTTTAGGAACGTTGGTATGCATGTAAGAGTTATATAGAAGTGAGATATTGAGACATGCTGTTCGACAAAGATTACAAACAACATTAAAGTTGACTTTCTGTTGAAAGTTTGAGCCGCTGCAACATTTACGCAATGCTTTATTGGAAAAAGCTCCTTTTATTGATAACGGGAAACTATTATTGCCCTGGTAACTCCGTGAATTATGTACTTTTCAAAAATGTTTCACAATTACAATATATTAATAACAATGTTTTTTTCATCCCATGTGACCAACTGAATCAAAAACATAACGATATAAACTGGTTGTAGTTTAGTATTTCCCCAACTCCAAATTAAACCAAATGCACTCAGGCTTTCTGGATCTTAAGTGTTGGTAAACAAAGGCAAATCTTGCCGAGGCGGAGCTCGAAAAAAATACAAAATAAATACACTGCAAAAAATAAAGAAATACTTTTTATTTAATTATTTGTTTCCCAGATCTTGAGATAAAATACATAATTACACATCTCACAGAGATCAGGAAAGTCTTATTGTATTTTGTTTTTCATAATTTCAAAGAAAAATCAGTGAAAATAATCAAAATGAAACAATGGACTGATCGCTAGTCATTTCCATTTTTTTATTTTCTGACTATGGAAACCAAACCCGCAATCTACCTGATGTAGGGCGGGCACGCTAGCACATCAGAGGTGGTAGCACGACATTTTTGCATGAGGGACGAGATCTGAAATCCGGACCCTCTGAAACGCCATTTCCTGCATTTTGAGGGTAAATTTTTCTGTCACAAAAGGTTTCAACTTGATTTGGGTGGATGACCCCCGCCCGCCCCCTGGTACCGCCGCCACTGCACATAAACTGCAAAATAAGTGTTACCCCAGACCATTCGTCCCGGTGTTATCGCTATCGTCACACGAGACTCCAGCTTGTCTCCTATACAATTTTCCTTCCGCCCACTTAATTTTAATATTCATATGACCTTTGCACTGACATCGATAGCCAATCGCATTCGACCGCGGACGTCACTCTAAATAAACAACTGAATAAATTAATATACCATATTTGGAAGATAGCGGGTAAATTCAACGTTGTTGGTGTGTTCCTTCGGGTTCCAAAGCGCACGAAACGAGTTCATGTTCCGTTATCTTTCGCAAGTAAAACAGGTCGATATGT